TATATAAGGCAAACCCTTCCGGAGGTCAGCTTGGAAAGGGCTTCGAGTTAAAAATATCACCCAGGACTACAGATGTGCCTCAGTGGTACAGCGCTTTCCTAGCAAGGAAGAGGTCCTGGGTTCAATCTCCAGCACCAACACACACACAAAAATAGAAGAAAGAAAAAACCCTTAGAAGGCAGCTGAGGTGATTTTAAAAAGCATGATGAAAAGTAAAATAATAACATTGAGGACAACAGCGACTGTCCCATTATACAGATTTTCCACTGTGTCTCTGTGTAGCCACCCTTGATAACTATTGCCCTGTCCTATTGAATTTCAATCACCTACAGAAGCAGCATGTGGAAAATTATACTGGTAATCTAACCTTGGAATTAGTATTAATTCTAGGAGAAAATACAGAAATTATCCTATTTTCACAAAAAGATTGTTCACATCCTGAGATAAATTGATCTTTCTGAATAATTTAATTTTAAAATGAAGGCTGTGCCTGGAATATAAAGCAATTTTTGCTCAATTTTGCATTTCTAATATGTTCCCATCCGGTTCTTTACTCTGTACTTCTATCAAGTATAAGTCTTTTGATTTTAAATAGCAGGCACCAAAAAAAAAAAAGAGAGAGAGAGAGACAGAAGGAGAAAGAAATGAGAACAATACAGCTTTTACGTCTTTTAGGTGACATGTTCCATAAACCTTGAATTTGATGAAAATTTTTGTGAGTTTCTAGAGCAGCTATTTGAGTCATTCTAATGAAATACGACTTGAAGTTCAGAAAAGTAAAATCATACTGTATTAGTAAAAGTGTCACTTAGAAAATTTATGTTTAATATATAAATTCAACCAGCTGCTCCAGACATTGTGATTTAACATAATGACTGTAGGTTAGACAGGAACCACACCTACATAATTTTCCTAGATTTGTCTGCATTGGTTCCAATTTGATACTTTAAGGATTTATTAGACTTGTTTTGAAAGTATTTAGATGTTTAATATAGATGAACAACCCCAGGGAAAGAGTATGCAAAATATCAGTTTGTTCCTTCAAAATCAGGCTAATGATAGCTAAAATTATTATGTGATCATAAAACTATGGTAAGAAAAACAGGGAGAACAAAATGAAAGGCCAATTGCTTTTCTATTACATGTCGCAGCGGAGAATGTTTTAAGTATAATTGAAACCTTGTTAAGAATAAAAGAAAGATGGTAATAAAAACTGAATAGCTAAAAGGAAGAATCAGTTTTTTAGACATATCAAACCCTGGACTGCTAAGAAAATGTTAGTGAAGGCTCCTTTGTAGCATTCTGAGTATGGATGTCATTTGGGACACTAAAATATTTTGCCATATATTTGAGAGAAGACTGTCATCAAAAAGAAAGGAACCATTTTAAGGGGAATTACCATGGGAAATATCAGTTTTACCTTCAAAATGTATAAAACTTGCACTCATTTCTCCAATGTAGAATGAGAAATTATTGTAACGAAGACAGTACTTTAAAAAAATGCTTCAGTTTTAGCTACATTCTTTTTTCAGCAAAGTAGTAGCTTTTACTACATTCGCGGAGCCTATACCAAACTGGCCATCATCACCTATTAAGTAAAAGGCATTTCTTCCTATGAAAGCTGTGAACTCAGCTTAATTGCATGTGCTCAAATATAACCATTGCTTCTCACACTGATGCTCTCGAATGGGTAATATGGGTTTGAGCCAGAGGATCACTGGCTCTTTTCAACATAGCTCTAGTTGCTAAGGAAAAAATGATTTCTATATATAATCTGACACATAAAATACGAGGTTCTTCCAACGGAGAGCTACTCTGACTGAAAAAGGCTATGTCTTTCTGAAAAGATAAAAAAACCGAGACAGAAACTATAAAAATAAGCATAATACTTCTATGCACACACAATAGCCCTTTTTCTTTAATTTTCTTACTACACTATTCTAGGAGGATTTTGGGTTCACAACAAAACTGAAAGGCAAGCACAATGCTTCCCTTAGGTCTCCCAGCCCAGGCGTGTGGGGTCCTTCATTGTGAGCATACCCACCGAGTGTTCACTTGTCACTACTGGAACCCACGTGAATGCAGTGACATCACCCAGCCTCCATTGTTTACATCTGGGCTCAGTCTTGGTCTTGTACATCCTGTGAGTTTGGCCAAAAGTGAAGTGAATGTATCTATCTGCCTTTGCAGTATCACATAGACTAGTTTCACTCCCTTAAACATTTCTCATGGTTGTTCAGAAGTTTAGTGAGCTAAGAATTCGTATTCTTGTCATAATCTTACGGTGCCTTCCTAGTCACCAACATGACCTCTGCTAAAAAAATAATCACACTAATAGTGTTTTTCTTTATGGCAGCTGTAGGAGAAAACAGGGAATTGGAGCCAAATAATTCAATGAAGAATACAGATCTAAATGTTTATCTGTGTCTTTATAATTAGAAAGATAATTGAATTGGCCATTTGGTGTTGCCTAAACAAAACTGGCAGTGAGCAGCGCTGTCTTCTGGGAACCCACGTCACACTGAGTGGAGTCAAGGTGAATTTTCCCAAAAAGCCGAGGACACTCACAGCTATGGAATGAAAATGTAACAGTACTGGCAGTGACTGCCACAGGGCTCTGGGGCACTGTGACCTAGCACTGCAGGAGAAGAGGGCACATGGCTTTTAGGACTGGTTTACCAAGGCACAAGGAATAGACACAGCCATCTTCTTACATTACAAGGTATCATTAAAGAACCATGACTATGTAAATGAACTGATCTTATGTTTTACATAAACATTTTTGACCACTACATATATTGCATCTGCTGTCCTTCCTTCTTTTAAGCATTGAGCCTTTAACTTTTATTAGTACATGTTTGTAGTGCATAATGATTACATTCATCATGGGGAGTGGGTACGTGCCCATTATTGAGGCAATTTAATGGGTGAAGAATCATTTGATATAATTTAATCGTTTTAATATGATTGCATTGTCCAACCTTCAGCACAATTGTAGATCATTATCATCACCTAAAAATGAAACTCAATAACCATTAGCAATTAGGAAATTTCTCTTCCTGTTTCTAACCCCTTCCACCTACCCCCTAAACACACACACACACACACACACACACACACCCAGCCCCTGGCAATCGCTTAAGTCCTTTCTAAAAATAACTAGTGCCAGTGCTATACTGCCGTGTGGGCACGAATACATTCAGTTCATTCTCAGCAAGTGAACCCCAATTCAGTTCGTAGTGCACAGGAGGCAAGGTGCCCCTTCGCCGACACAGGCATAGACACTGCCCTCCAGTTCTCTCCACCCAGTATGGGGGTTGGAAGAAATGGATCCTGCCAGGATCAGACCACTGGGGTTCACCGTTCACCTCTGCTACGATGTGCCATTGAGACCTTAGGAAGATTATTTGTCCTTTCACTCATCCTCTGCAAATGGGGATGACGAAAAGTACCCTATTCTGGTGAGGCATTAGAAGAACGGAGTGAGTCACTGTGTATGAATTGCTTGGAGCACTCACTGACATGTGCCAGGTGCTTAAGGAATATTAGCTTTTTCATATTAGGATGGTGATTCCCCAAATGTAGTGTAGGGGACCTTATTTCGGTGTCACACACACTGCTAATGTTGTAATTGTCATAATTTTGTTTACCCATGGTTAAAAAAATATAATTATTACTATATAATAGAAACGGTTTAAATTAACAGGTGTATGGTTTCCTTTTTAAATAACTTTATATAAGAAAAATGGGGAGTTGGTTTGAAGAAAAAAAGGTCTCATAGATTTTAGTTTGCATAAGTAGCAAAGTTTCAAGAAGAATTTCCTACCTAGCCTCTACCAACTAGGCAGAAGTGCGTAACTAGTCCGTGAGTTGTGAGCAAAAGTGACAGAGTGTGTCTCCAATGGCGTATGAGGCTGCAGGGTGATGTCCTCCAGCACTGTCTTCCTACTGCCAGTTGCCAGGCTCCATAGATGGCTTTATAAGAGCAGAAATAAAGTGCAGCTTGGTGCAGCCACTGAGAGTTCACATTTTGTTACTGCCGCACAGATCGGTTTATGCTGACAAAAGGAGGACCGTAGACTATTATAGAAACTGAAAATGGCACCTGAATAACTGAAGTTAGCAGAACATTGAAACAGAAACATAAATGGCACTTTATGAAATCAATAAATAATATATTAATTTGGCCTTGGGAAATTCTGAAAGGTTTAATAGAGAAAGTGGTATTTAAATAATTCTTGCAGGTTGAATAGGAGTTTGGTTAGTTTAAAAAAAAAAAAAAAAGAAAAACAAGAGTGAAGAGTCCAGGACATGAAAGTACAAGGGAAGTGCACAGTAAGGAAATCAATGATATAGGGACATGGGGGATGAGCAGAGTTCCCTGGGCTCCTAGGGAGCTGTGGCTATGGGAGGGTTGGGAGAGAGTCCAGATTTCCAGCCGGCAGGGAGGGAACACAGCTCTCATGAAGTTCTTTCTCACCTCATGCCCTTACCTTGGTAACTTATACCTTGCCAACATATTATCCTTAGAGCCAGGTGTGGTGGTGCATGCATGGAATCCCAGCACTGGGAGGCTTGTCAAGTTGGAGGCCAGCCTGGGTTACATAGTGAGTTCACAGCCATGTTGAACTGCATAGCAAGACCCTGTCTTAAAAACAAAACAACAACAACAACAAAAAAATATGCCAAGAAAATTAGACATCCCCGTCTCCAAAGTGTTTGGTTTTTGTCTTTGTGTTTTAATTATTGTAACAGAATATCGGGACAGCTCTTCCGATCCCTTCATATCAAATTAAACTCTGTCTACGATATTTCCCTCAAAGAGCATTCGAAAAAGTCAAAGAGAAAACTCAAATTGTAGAAGATTTGAGGCAAAGATTGAGTTCATTCTTATTCATCATCTTTCTGTTGCAGCTATGCAAGTTTCTTCTTTTTTACCTACTTGTACACGTTTATTTATTTTTGCTTTGCTTTCTGTCACCAACAGTATGGTTCGAAATGCATAGATAGCAAGAGGTCTAGATATTGACTCATCATTTTCTGCGCCATTGCTGTTACGAAGGGAGAAAAATCAAGTCCACAGAAAGCTGCAAAAGCCTAGTGAAGAAATTCAGTATTCTTCCCATCTGATGGCTCAAGTTCCTTTCAGTGGAAAACCAGCATCCCCAAATTTAAAATCTAAAGAGAAAAATGAGGATCGCCCAGGATGCCTGTGTTTAGAGGCTGTAAAGCGGACAACAGCAAGGTATATGCCAGTTAAGAATTCCCCCTGTAATCCCTGATCAGTTTAGGGTTTCTCTGACTGTTGTTGTCGTGAGTGTTAATGTGTTTATGCACACAACAGCTTGGTGAAGTGCCGGGCTCAACATCAGGTACGGCCAGCTCTAATTCCCAGGTGTGTCCTTCTCTAGCTGAGTGACCTCAGTCAATTATGTAACCACACTGGTCCTCAGCTCCTCCACTGGAGCAGGAGGTAGTAGAGATAATAGCAGCTACCTCTTCGGTTATTGCAAAAGAGTGGATGCAATCTGGAAAGCCATCAGCATGGTGCGTGTAAACACTCAATTAATGTAATCTGGAATTACTATTAGCTGGTACTGAAAACTAAACATAATGCATTTACCCTAGATATAATCAGTGCAATGTCAGCCTCACGGAAGAGTCAAAACTGATTTCATTTTCATTACAAGTTCTCGTCAAAGAAGAGGATAACTACCGATTAAAATAACTCTCCACCTCTAGGTAATCTACCATCGTTCTCTTCTTTGCATTTTGTTCTCCTTTGACCAGAAGTTGTGGTAGGAAAAGACTTGTATCAGCTCCATTCTCATGACTTGTCACTAATTTGATAACTTTTGCCATTCTATTACTGCCAGCCTTCCCCATACCATTTGTAAGCTTCTCCAGATAAGCACACCGATTCTTGTGTCACTGAAATCTGTGGCTCGTGGAGCAGCCAGAGAGATTCTTCTGACCCAGCCACTCCCTAGCTCATAAATCTGCCCGCCATGTCTAGATCCCCTCCTTCATCAGCGCCTGAGTGACCTCTGCCTTCGTTTTTTGCCAGTCTTCTCTTCCCCACTCCATTCCCTACAAATCAGGCACACACACACACACACACACACACACGCACTCACACTTGCCCCAGGATCTTGGTGCTTCTCATTCACCCCCCTGGGAATTTATCTCCCCTGATGCCTACAGGCTCAAGTCCGGAATTCATTCAGGAAATTCCCTAAAGGAGCTGTTGTTCTCACACCAACTGAGATAGTGCTGGCCAACTTCTACCCCTTACCCCGCTTTCCTTTGTAACGTTATTACCCATAGGTTTTACTTATTTGGTTTTTGTATATGTTTCTTCACGTTGATATTCCAGTTCCTTCTGCTTGGTTGGGTGTATAGCAATTATTCGGTAAGTATTTTTAAATCAGTAAATACTTTAGAAAAGAGTTACTTGTGCATTTGTTGGGAATTTATTCCCTTTTTAGGCTATTAATTCTTAATTTGAAATGATTAGTGTACATCACAAGTTTTAACCAAGATCACAGATTTCTAATTCAACATACCCGATATTATGATAATTGATTCTAAAGCATTTCATATGCAGTTTTTATAACATTAACTAATAAATTAATTCAGAAAAATTTCTAAATCTGTATTGTGGCTTAGTAATGGTAAACAGAGAAAGGAGAAAAGTGAAGTTCAGGCTGTCTAAAGAATGGCAAACTCTAAACAAAGCCCAAGCTCACTTTACTGAAAGCTTTAGTTATCCAAGTCATTCTCATTTACTTCAAGGTAGAAACACAGGTTAGTAAATACTCTGTCCTTATTGACCAGCTAAAAATACTGGGCTTTATTCCAAAAATATTCCCATAGCTATGAAAAAATAGCTTTTGGGCTTCTTATTTACTGAACAATAAGACGTCCCTCTCTTCAAATGGAAGTGCCATCATCCTTAGTGTGTCAGTCTGCTTTCTGTCACTATAACCAAATACCTTGAATGAGGAATAAAGAGAAAAGGTTGTTTTGGGTTCTGTGCAGAGGGTCCCGTCCAAGCTCAGGTGCCCATTACTTTGGGAGTGGAGAGGCCAGAGGGGGAGGCAGAGCAGAGCACCACCCTTCAAAGTCAGGAAGCAAAAGAAAAAGGAAGAAGGAACAGGGGTTCCACAGTCCCCCTCCGGGTGCATCCCAAGTGACTGAGGGCCTCAAGCCAGGTCCTACCTTCCGGTGGTTCCAGCACAGAGAACCTGCTAAAGAACACACAGGCCTTTGAGGGCTATTTAAGACCCTAACTACAGCACTGAGAAAAGTCTCAAACTAAGAGATGTCAGATTTTTGGTCTCTCTTTTGGGCTTGTAAATGTTTCAGCCACATGTTCTGTTCCCCACTCAGAAAGACATCCCAGTTTAAGCAGAATGCCGTCTGACTTCCTCAGACTCATTTCTTTCTCCTCTCCAACCAGCCACCTTGACCACCACTTTGAATCCAGCTCTCTTCTGCTGCTGCGGGGCCTGCTCCCCACAGATTCTTAGTCCATCATGCTCAGACCCATCCTTCCCTCTGCCTCCAACCAGGCCTGCTTCAAGTCTGCCACTGAGCCTTCATTATCTGAAAGAAGGTGCCCATGCCAAGGCCTCTGTGTTTCTCCACAGGCTGCTGCTTCTGGCCATTTTGGTCTCCAGAGCCCAACTCTGTCCACCTCTTCCTTTCTGAGCACAGCAAGTTCATGAAAAATCAATCAGGTGGTAACTTAGTTTACTGCAGAGGATATTTGCACTCAGACAACTGAATCGGAAACCATTTTCCCAAGTCACTGGGTCTGTAGTTTTGGGTAAATTACTCCTCCTTATCATTTCCCTCAATGGAAAAGAAATGCGAATAATCATACCTACGTCTGCTGTAAAAAATATGTCTCACACATGGTGTCTGGCACGTGTTCAGCAGGAGGTAACTGTGAAACAGTTAATGTGGACAGGGCCTGGTAGAGATGGTGCCCTCGGTAGCTGCTATTTTCCTTCTTACTTCAGTGCAGCTGTTTCATCAGACAGCCTCTTAGTCAGTGGACTTGCCTGCCAAACAGTGTGCCCATCCCCTGGAGTAGCTCAACCCTTTTCCAGGAGCTCCCAAGTCCAAACAGCTTCCGTGCTGCCCTCTAACCACATGGTCTCCTCCTGAGGCCACTGGGCAGCCCTGCTCTCAAAATGAGGCAGCATTCAGATTCAGACTGCCTTGTTTGGGCACAGAAAACTCTGACTATGCAGACTCTTCCGCTGCCCTGGGGACTGGAAGTGTACTGACATTTGGATGTTACACCTCGGGAAGTCTTCAAAAACTAAAAGGAGAGAGAAGGAAAGTTAAATCTTTACAAAATCTGGGATGAGAGGGACGGGACATAACTAGAGCAGAAATCCCTGGGCTAGTGAGCCTAGGTATTTTACTTCCCCGGTGGGCAAAGATACTGAACTGCCTGGGATTCATCTGAAGATGTCTCCTCAGTAGCACAGGAAGGCCAGTCCTGATGCCAGCCTGATTTTCTTACGATCACTGTTTGCAATTAGATCGGCCAGTCCCACAGAAGCGTAGTGTGGGAGCATCATTTATTCTGTAGAAAGGAGAGCACACAAATTCAGAGGAAGGTGCTATTACAAAACAGTAGAGGCTTCTTAATCGAACCGGTGAGACAGCAGGGAGATTTATCTTGACAAGGTACCGAATGACAGGGCTTTGTTGGAAGTACCACTGAAAACCCAGCATGATCAGCTCTGTGTGACAAGGTATGGAAATGCCTTCCCTGGCCTGACCCTCTTGTGAGGTGGATATTTTTGTTTCTGGGCATGGTTCTGATTTGAGATGTTCCAAGTTGTTTTCCTTTTGAGAAATGCAGATGTAGCCATTGTTTTAAAAGACTCCAAGTGGGTCACCCTGATTTATCCTTTTAGGGTGGTTCCATCACAACATGAGTCAGTTACTTCCTGGAATGGGACCAACGCAAAGAACAATCCTAAAGCCTAATTCACTGCAAACATTTCCCTGAATGCATGGCATTCATTGGCATTTGTTTAAACAAGGGCGCTGCAGTTATAGCCTAGGAAGAAAGCTAGCAATCAGAATGTGCAATGCCAAAGCTTCTTTCAAAAAGGAGCTGATAATACACAATGCATATAAATTACATTTGAATTGCAGTGGGCTACATCCTTTTACCCGTTTGTAAGTTACAGAAGATGGACTTGGAAGATACACCTATATGAAGTCGTTTGCCAGGATCTTGCTGTGGTTCCTCACTTTGGCCTGTATTCTGTCAGAATGCCATCGAAGCACACTAGTGACTGTGCAGTGCCGGTCTGTGAGCGCTGTGACGTTCCTTTCTTCTTAGCTCCTCCCTACGTTGAACTCACTAATCAGCCATCCTCACAGCCTGTCGGGGTGGTGGATGCCGCTGGGTTTGGATGAGCGAGTGCACTGGAGTCAGGCACCCAGCTCCAGCACGCCCGTGGGAACGTTCCTCAGCGAAGGCAGTATTTCCAATGAGCCTCATAGTCCTCAATGAGAACATTGGGCAACTAAAGCAGTCCATGAACCTCGGGTTTCTAATTTTCTTAGAACAACATCTATTTTGTGGAACAGTTTTGTACAGAATAAATGAAACAACTATGTAAAACGTTGGTACATGGTATGGCACTAGTAAATTTTTTATTGATATTGATTCTAATTATTCTTCAGTTTTTAGTGATTTAGAATTGTTACCTATTTTTCTCTTTTATTGCCTTTTATATTAGTTGTGTTCTCCAGATTGTAGTCATTTCCTACTGTAGAGCTCATATTTCTGCATGCCTTTGACACACATAGAAACTCTCTTGTGATTTTGACACTTTTTTCTCTACACATTTCATAAATGATTTACACGATTTCCCCAAGGTGGAATCAATAACTTTCCCCTAAAAAATCTAATTCTATCTTTGAATGTAGGCCTCTCCTTCATTCTGCCTGCAAGCACTTGAACCCGATCCAATCAGGTCCTTGTCATTTAAACTTCAAATGGATTTAAGATTTTTGAACTTCGGGCTGGGGATTTAGCTGCATGCTAAATGCCTGCATCGTAAGTGCAAGGTCCCGAGTTCAATCTCAGGTACGAAAACAAAATTTTTTTGAACTTCATTTTAACTTTTATTTCAATTTCAAACTCCTTTCTCCCTTCCTCCCTGCTTCCCCATTATTCATCGTTCCTCCTCTCTCCCCTTCTCTCTCCTCCTTCGCCCTCCCTCATCTCCATCTCCATGTCCATCTCTCTCTTTTGAAAAGCAAATTTTACACCTTTGGTTTTTATACTACTCCTCATCAAGACAACACTTGAACAATTCCTGGGAAGTGAACATTGAGGACAACAAACGTAATGACTAAGATCATTAGTTTTGAACTTCTGTCATCTTTGTAAACTAGAACAGGTCTTTTGGAAATGAGTTAGAGATTCTAAAAGTAGAGTCACATTTCTGTGAAGTCTTCTAAATTCTGTGATTCAGAAAAGCAAGCCTTTTTCACTTTTTACACCTTTAATCGCCACTTAAAACTGTGTAGAAGACAACGGCCATCTTAGCAGAGCAGTTTGGTTTTGCAACTGTTCTATTGCAGCAGGCCAAGAAGGAATAGAGGAATTGGATAAAATATAAGTCACATCTGGTTTTCTTATTAAAAATGCACTGTTCACCATCAGCACTCTCATAAGCCAATACAAGTCAAATTATGTATTTTGATTGCTTCTGGGTTCCTTTTATTAGTGTGTTGGCTGGTTCTTTGAATTTTTTTCTGTCTTCATTTTAGCTAATCAATTTCTTATTTTTATCTTTTCAAAGAACTCAGCTTCTCAATATGGAATACTTTTGTTTTCCCCAAAATGCAGAGGGCTGCTGTGTCTAAATTGCCAAATGCTATGCTTAGTTCTGATTTCTCTGTAAGTGAAAATTCCCACAACCAACTGGCCATCTGATCAGTATATTGGGTTCCAACAAAAAGACCTTATTTCTTTTCACGTCTATTTTGAAAACCTTGAAACAATACAAGAGTGGAATAAATATTTCAGGGGTTCTGTGTTGGCTGAGAACAATGATTTAAAAAAAATACAAAATGAATCCAAGTGTGGATTTCAGAATTAATAATTTAATAGATGAAATCATTTTATATAGTCTCATAGAATATATATTCAATGTTATAATTTATTGAATTAAGAAAGATTCCTGCATCTATAATGCAATTCTAAAACAGGAAGGTATATATATATATATTTTTTTTCTTCTGTTTTACAAAAAGTATCAGCTTGTGAATATAGGAATGACAAAATTGGAAAATCACCATCTAAATTCAGTAATTACCTGATAAAAATCAATGAATGGTAAAAATTTTTGAAAACATTGTTGCTAGAAAATAATATTTGCATATTTGCAGAGTATCACCCCACACATTTATGAATTCCAAAGGAATAAAGGCTGCTTTACAACAAAAAGATGTGGCAGACACGGCCTTAACCAAGTGATCAAAGTTAGCACCTCCTCAGTTATGCCAGGATGGCAGCATGTGCTTCCTAAAATGATGTAGGGAAGTCGGCAATATTACATCTGTCCATGGAGATATAGCTAATTTAATACCCAGGGAGCCATTGGCATCCAGAGCATGGGTGGTTTTACCTGATAACATGCTAAGATTCGGTGTCAGGAAAGGTAAGTGACAGAGAAGATACATCAGGGATCCTTAAGTCTGAATGGATCCTGATTTGAAAAAAATGTTGAGCAGTTGGGGAAATTTAAAAATAGAATATATTTAATCTTAATATTGTATGATCAAGTCTTTGGAAAATGTAAGACAGCATATGTTTTTCTTTCATAATATATGTTTTATATAGGAGAATATGCTTGTTCCTAGGTGATCCATGCTGAAGTGTTTCCGGGGGAAGTCATGATGTCTGTAACTTGTTCAAATGATGAGAGAGCCGGGGGGCGTGGTAAATCATACATTAGCCATGTGTTTGTTGGTAAATTTGGGTCATGGTATATAGGGGTTCGTGGATACTACTTTTCCACTTTTCTTTGTTTGCAATTGGAGTCAGCTAGAAGAGTCTCATTAGTCAGGGAAGGTGGTGCCAGAACACTAACTTCCTAGCAAGAGGAAGAGTCTTTCTCCACCCCTGGCTGCTTCTTTGAGCCAAGAGCAATGCTCACAACATGTCTTATTCAGAACACTCATGGCCTGGAGTCCACACACAGCCCGTCTGGCAGCTGGTATTTCCTGTGTGTCTGTCCCCTTCAGAGGAGCTCAGGGAGGCCCAAGGGAGACAGCAATGGAGAAATGTGGGTAGAGAAATGGCATTTTCTATCACTACTTCTGCGGGACCAGAATAGTGAGGGCCTTAGCTTAACTTCTCCTAATACCTTATATGACATAGAAGTCGAGGTACTCAGTTTCACTTCACTCTCCCATCTCAGAATCTCTGGGGCTTTTACACCCTAAAGGACAAGTTTAATTTGGTATCAAATTGTGCACAAAATACTTTTTGGGAGCACAGAGGGAACTGCATAGTACCAGCAAAGGATTCAATAAGCCATCAGTTGCATCTGTGTGTGTCCTATTACGAGCACTGAGAAAACAGTCTGAACAAATAACCTGGAGCAGGATGTTAAGAATGAGCAGAAGCCTGCAGCCTGTTTGGATGTTGTAACGTGAACTAGAGCAAGATGTCAGCAGGTGCCCTGGCACCCAGTAGGTATTTAACCAGGGAGCCAGACAGGAAGGAGTTTTTCCAGGCTTTGTTAGAACAAGGTACTAAGCATCATGAATTGCTCTTTCATCCCCGAGAGCCTTGCTTTGGTTCATGCTCAAAATGAAGAGAAAACTGGGATCAAACTGTTGCTATCAGAGAGGAAAAGAGATTAGGGAGATTAACAGATCAGGTCAAAATCAGAGGAGCAGTTGCAAAAGTTATCATAGTTTTTCAAAAGGCCCACTTAATTCAGTTCAAGGCATACAGATCTTAACTTAATCCAAAGCTTTCTTTAGTATGCTATAAAATCTTACTCTGGAGTAGCCTTTAAGCTTATATTCATGGTTGCCTCCTTGTGTTTTGTTTGTTTATTTTTTGGTACTGGGGATTGAACTCAGATCCTAGTGCTTGCTAGGCAGGCAGTGGAAACACTGAGCTAAATCACTGGCCCTGCCTCCTTGTTTGATAAATCTTCCGCAAGGACAAGATGGGACATTTAAGCAAAGAAAAAAAAATTTGTGTGATTTAGTGATGATATGGGAAAATGTGGAAAAGAATGTGTGAAATGGAGTTTAATAAATGAGCGTACCATTGCTATATGTTCCTATTTCAATAGAAGAGGAATAGTTCTACCAGCAGCTGCATAAGAATGTTCAAGAATATTTATAAAAAGCTATTTTACTCAGTGAAAAAAAAAATCTAAACCTCAAGTCTTTCCAACATTTATAAACCAAGTTGCCCGTTACACTTCCCCAAAGGTAATTTCCCTAAGCAGGTCATTTTTATCCTGATTTGAGATTTCAGTGAGATTCATTTATTCAGAGTAATCTCTAGTAAATATTAAACACATGGCAGAAGAATTTATTAGAGCCCAGAAAATAATTTGTTTTAAGCATTCATATCATAAGTAATAATACAAATGACAAAATATTGGACATAGCAAAAATAGTTCTGGTTTTATTATCTTGCTTTATTATAAAAATATAAAGTGAACACTTTACCTTGTTTCTTTTAGTGTCCATTTCTGAATTCAAGAGCCTTTTTTTTTTTGCTAGAAAAAAGATATTTAACTCTTCCACACAACTTTTTTTATATTTGAATTGTCCTCTTATGGCTCATATACTGATACTAGAATGCTGTTTTCCCATTTCTTTTCATGAGACTTATTTCAAAAAAGTTAGGCTCAGGTATTCTAGAATAATCTAGAAACAATTTCATTCTTATTTCTAAAACAGTTTCAAAGGGGAACATTTATACAAGACAAAGCAATGGAGGGCAGATTTCATTCACTTCACAGGTGTCTGGTCTGGTATTTCTCTGTTCTTTACTACGGGGATAAGTCATTTTTCCCTCGCAGAGTTTTTCATTCAATATTTCAGCGATGCCTTCAGCAGGGAAATCCATTTCCTGGCTGAGGCAGAGATGGATTGTTAAACACTGAAATATCCTCCTGTCAGAATCACTTGTCACGCAGGAAGTACGTTCTACATCCTGCTCCCTTGATTGACTTTCATAACAAACAGCCATTACACGGTGAGACTGCTTTGTGTCAATACTGATTGCTAGGAAATTGAAGTCAAGTGAAGTTCACTGACTTGAAGAAATCCCACATGCAGGGATGGGGTGAAACTGTGACATCTACATCATACGTAATTGGCAAGGTGCACTCCCCAGGTGTTTTGAGTAACTCTTTTACCCAGAGAGAACGAGTTTTATTCATGGACAGATTGCACCCAGGTAGCACGGCAGAAGGATCTGAGATCACGTGAGCCATCAGTGGCGTCTCCTTCCTTAATGTGTGCTGTGCTGTGTGATAGCCACAGCTCTGGAATACTACAGCTTTAACGTTTAGGTCAAAGAGTTATAAATTCAGTGCTTCTTTAATGACCATTGAAGTTCCATCTGTACCAGAGATTGAACTCGGGACCTTGTGCTCGCCAGGCAGGCGGCAGAACCACTGAGCTAAATCCCCAGCTAAGTCCCATCTCTTATTACTAACCTGATAATGGTGGTGATGATGATGAAGGTCATATTGATTGAGTACTTACTCTGTACTGGGAACATATCGTTTATTTTTATTTATTTTCAAGAGTTAAGAGTTATGGTAATACACAAATTATTGAATGGGAGCAGACTTTGATTCTTAAATGCTTTTTCTTAACTTGTTTATGTTTGCATTCTCATAATTCACCGAATTCTTCTCATTTCAGAATCACAGAGCACCCAGTAGTCCATTTTATTTAATAAGTTCATGGAGTCAGCTTTCTTTTCAATTCATAAGAATGTGACAGTGTTACAGAATGCCTGCTGAGATTATTGCCCTCACATTCCAACACACTGGGAAATGTCTTCAGTCCTAACTAAATTAAAATAAATTCTAAATTTTTCAATTATTTAAATTTATTCATGCTGCCGGGAAACAATACAGTATAAATCAATTCACACAGCAATACAGCGTCTCCTTTGTTTGTGCTGCTCCTCAGGAAGACAACATTTTGAAAGGAAGCAACTAAAATTTTAAATCATTGGTGCATCATGAAAGTAAGTGTATATCAAAGGTTATGTTGAGGCTAGTCTATTCCAACCTAGCCACCCTGAATTAGAAAAGTAGTACGTTTCTGGTTATTGAAGGTCAATTTTACCTCTACCATTTACTCCATTATAAATGTAAAATTCAGCCACTCTACAGCAGAAAAAACCATAGCATTTTCTCTCTTCATCTTAGGGCCTTGGATTAATTCTTACATAAATACTGCCTCGATGCACTACGTAAGGCTATGCTAATGTCTTCTACACTATGCTTTTCAGAAAATTAGAATGTATTCGGGTTTCAGTAGAAAAGTAGACATCTTGTCAATTAAATTTAAGAAATACCATTTTAAACCTAATTAAATGTATTTGTTGTGTTTGAGTGTTACCTCTGTTTTTTGCAAGACTTCTCTCGCATGAAGTCGAGGTAAGTTTCACTAATTATAAAACTAAGGGAGTTTGGGTATCTCATTAACCCCAGTAGAAAGGGTCCTTGCCTCAGGCAGCAGGAGAGGTTTCAGAATAGACTAGCAAGGGCTCTTCCAAAGGTAATGGCACAGTGATCTGGTCAGTAAATGAGCAGAGATGGTGGTAATGATGCATGTGTAGTACCTACAGTGGAATGGAGTACACACAAAAAAAATTTTCTTTTGATGAGATAGCATAACCTAAAAACAAATATCTTCTGCTTCATGGCTTATTGAGGGTGAAAATGACATTTTCCGAACCACCAAATTCCAGCCACACTTAAATAGCGTTCTTAGAAATAACTACATAAATTAAGACACATAGAGACAGGATGAAAAATGAATAAATACATACAATTAAAATGTTGCAACAGTTGGACATTTCAAAAAATGCTCCAATGCCAACTTCATGGATGATGACTATCAAGAGAATACTCTTTGAAGCCTGACTCATTTCCTCAGGTAAAAGTTTTCCCTGCCAAAAAAATATTGCTGTTCATCACCATCAAAGTTCTCGTTTGCTTATTTGACAAAACTGGAGAGGTGACAGTCATAATAATGGGATATTACAGAATTTTTCAAATTTGTACTTATATGTGAACATGAGGAACAGCAAGGAATACTTTCAAAATATACTATGAAAAGTGTCAATAACTAATCTAAGAACCATCCTGTGGCTGCCTCCAAGTGAGAGCAACTCTTCCCTGATCAGTTACCCAAATGAGAATCAATAACTTGGATTTTCAAATCAAAGACAACAAAAGTCGACATTAAGGTATGAGCCAGTCCTTGGACTTAAAATGTGGAGTTTGCAAATTTTGTTTCTATGAGAATAGAAAGTATTTACCTACTATCAAAGGGCAAAATTGGTATTTATCTAAGAGATCTGAGTGCAGAATAAGTTTGGCTTTGATGAGAGCCAACTGCATGAATGTCTCAAGGAGGAAATAGAAATCATGGACCTGACAAGGCAGGAGGAAGGGAAATCTCTGCTTTGGCTGTGGGTCAACCAAATGTGGTGACTAATTATATAACAAGTGTCGTTGTGATGAAAATTCTGACACAGTCAGTGATGCCAATCAGGTTTTCTTCCATCTTTTATTCTTCTTACTTTTCCTCCTTAAAGGTAAAACCTCAAGCTTCTGTGATTTTCACATAAAAACACATAATACCTTTTATTCATACCATCTTTAAACTTGATTGTGGGAGAAGATGTTGACCCTCTACATTGCTTGATGGTATTATTGTTGTATAAATTATGTCATTTGGACCACCTACTTCACAAGTGCAAAAGTTTGATCCCGCTCCAAAAAAAAAAAAATGTGTAATTTAGGGATTCAAATTGGAATATTTGACCCTGAAAGCAGTGAAGTTTTCATATTCCAAATAATATTATGCTGCTAGTCCATTTTCTTCAAATACATGAACCACAAAAGTATATATCACATGCATGTGTATGTATATAGACACACATGATATATAAATACATATATAATGGTGCCATCACACATACCTAAAAATATACATTATATACAATTCTATATAATACACACATATAGATACCCATAAATATGTAAGATTTTGAAGTAGCAGGAAAGAAGTACATAGCAGACATCAAAGTCACCCGTAAAGGCAAAACATTGGTACTTCTGTAAGAAACCCTGGGAGGTGGAATCACCCTATGGGATTCACAACAGCAGCTCATGCTTATTTGAATTGTATTTTTAAGTTGCAAGTTCAAATCCTACTAAGTTATCATAACTGTGTATGAGAAATGAAGAGGGACAAGAGCTTAGATCAGCAATCTTTAAACATATTGAGGAAGGGGATCATGTTCCAAAGCAAAAATCTTATGACAGAACCTCAGTACATACATTGTTTTTGTATTGTGTAAGTTCCAATTCATAACCATGATGTATCACAAACTAGCTTAAAGTGAAATTGTTTAAAATGTAGAAAAACAAAAAATTGAATGCCACAGATTATTGTTCAAATCAGCCTCAAAACTTAATTTATTGAAACATTTTCTGTGCAATTGAACAATTCCTTACTCACATATATAAATACTTGCAAATGGCAACAGCTTTTAAACAGCTTGCAGGATAGCAGAAGAAATATTCCTCTGAGATGTGCTTACTGGCTACAGAAATCCGTGTGGCAGTAGACATCATTGCCATGTTAAACTACATGCATTACTTTTATTTCATACCTTAGGCGGTTAAATTATTCCTAATGAAGTTTAAACTAAAATTTTTGTAATATTCTGAACATCTCTTGGCAATCAGTAGTTAGGATGCACCGGGACATGAGCTGGTCTGGAGAGCTCTCAAATGTTACTCAGAAATGTTTCTTGGAGACAAAGAGGGAACAACAGAAGCATTTTATTGCAGCACTTCCTTAAATAGTTCTTCTTTCAACATTATCAGTCTTCTCCTCTACCAATTCAAACACAGCCACACCCTTTAAATTCGGCTTTACAACCAATCATTCTCAAAAGTGTGGTTATCATAGTTTTTTTTAGATGCTGGTTGTTCACGGCCAAGCGAAGAAGGTGGATTGGGTGGAAAGTACTTAGTGCGTGAGAGTAATGAAGAGAAGAGTCACAACCAAAAAGAGGAAATAAGGATGGAGCCACCAAGGTCAATCCGTCTTTCTTTCATGGGGCTTTTAGATATTTCTGCCTTTGAGAAGCCTATTAACCTCCTAAACTGTATTTGATGTTCTCAGACTAGTAGTTTGGTGAACAGAGATCATCTATAGAGTATTAAGGTTTTTCAAATATTTCCTTTCCTGGTTTCAAGAGCCCACATTTTTGGTGATCTTTCTGGTTCTGTCTCAGACATATACTTGCCTACATCTTACTCTAGATTGTGGTATATAATCTGATTATGACATATATCATATATAGATTATGATACCTACGAGGACAGAAATTGTGTCCATCGGGAACACGACAATTTTTCCAGCACCTAACTCAATGTTTACCATATAGCTGGTCCCTACCAAATTATTTGTGGAATGAATGAACATATGAGAAAATGATAGTTGTTCATGACAATACAGAAAGAGGATACATGAGAAAGAGTAGGGTAATAAAACAAATTGAGCGACTTTGGATACAGAAAGAGTGAAAAATAAAGCATGAAGATATATACTGGCAAAGTTAATTTCTCTGAGGACCTTGAGTTTTGTTTTTCATCCCCTCTGGATAAATGCTGTGACCAGTTTAGGCTTTCTCAGCCTAGCAAGGGGTGCAGCTAGATCATTTCTAGGGTGATTCATCATCAGATATGGCTCTCAGTGGAGGAAGTGGTGATGTTGATGATTAAGCAGAAGGCATTTCCTCCCCTGGAGAGATGTTAGGAGGAAGGCATCGCTGGGCTGGAAGTACTGTTTTTCACTGAGATGCAAAGTTGAGATCTTAATCTCTTGGAACATTGCTTGTTCCCTGGACGACTCTGTAACAGACAGCCAATAAAAGTAATAATACATAGCAATTTACAATTGTAGATCTTTTCTCAACTTTTAGAGCATATTATTACCTTGTGAGATCTTCACACTGGTTTTGTAAAGCAGGCAAAATATAGGACTTGACAATGGAAAAACTAAGACTCAAAAATGAAATCCAAGCTCATTCTCTAAAAACTTGCAAGTTCTCTATGACCAGAGCTATGTAAATTTAGAATGGTGTTAGAACAATTTCTGTCTGCAAAGCACTTCAATATACTTGTCTGAATTTGGATAGAGCAGAAAAATATAGAAACCTTTCTATAAATTCTAGGGGGTAACTGTGGAGAGGAAAGCCAGCCCAAACAAGAAGAAAAGACAGCCTTTCACATGAACTTACTTCTATATGCTTTAAAATGCATCAGGGGATGCATTTTCTCTTAGTTATTATTGTCTTAGTTATTGTCTTAGTTAAGCTACTGTGGTCTTGCATAGACAATCACAGAGATACACTTTAAAGAAAGTTACTGTACTGCATTTTAATGCCTGATGAAGTGTGTGTACTGTGTGCAGCACCTCATGCCAAAGTATGTACTAAGTGTTTTCCCACTCATCCATTCCCCTACCCTTGAGAAAAAAGAAAAAACATTTTTCCTTGAATCAGCTTGCATGATGATGGATGTAGATTTCCTGAAATCTCATCAAATGTTTCAAGGTTCTTTTAAGAACTCAGAACTATAGAGACACATCTGTCCACCATCAACTCCTACAATCCAAAAATCTTTCTATATGACCTAAAACAGAAGGTGTGTGTTTCCAAGTCCAAATCCATCATTATTATGACTGTGTCTATCTCTAGCACGATTTCCCTTGAACGTATTGGAA